AGATTAGGTGGCATCAAAAGCAGCCACCACCGACCGCATGATTAAATGTGGGTGACAGATATTTCCCCCATTGATCGCATAATTAAATGCGAGTGACAATTATCTTCCTACACTCAGACTCACCGCAGAACCCTTGTTTAAAGAAGCAGGGGTAAACATTATGTACGAATTAACCACAGGGCTTACCTTTGCGAGTTGCTAATGGGGTGGTCAACACCGTCGGTGTTCGAGCTAAAAATTAGAATAAGAATATTTGATAGTGCAAATTAATGATACCAAAATTAATTTTAGATTCTTCATTTTCTAAACAGTTGCGCAACCGGTAGTTTTAAGTAGAGCAAAATGAGTGCTACATTGTTATGCGATAAAATTGCCGACCGGGAGTTCAAATGTTTAAAGTGCTGCAAATAGTTAAAAAACTAATTTAACACCTTGGGAAAAATAAATAACCACCATTTATGCTTTATGAATACTTGAAACGCTGTCATACTCTCAAACCACTTTGTAAGGCTCCTTTCAAGAGTAGACTGTTTGCCGTCAAAATGCAAAAACCATCTATTTAACTGTATGCACTAACGTTTTTAAGCTCGACTTTTATTCACCACTAGACTGGCTTCAAATATAAGTATTTCATCTGCTCATTACACAGGCACAATTGCATACATTGTCAGACTAAAATTTCGAATGAAATTGACGTACATATAGGAAGCACAATTAGATCGCTGACATTCCTCACCTACAGTCGTTGATGAGTATTCACCTGACCGCTAACGGAACTCATCTGTTCCGCTCTGCCTCGGGTCTTGAAAGAGACCCTGATAGCCGTAACAGCTGGTAGTAGGTAGATAGTATTGCCAGCAAAAACCAATCTCCCTTGTCTTTGTCATGAATACTATATTCCTCACCTACTTCAGAGGGAGCGTCCGCCAGAGGGGGTTTATTTGCTATCTGACCGAATAAACCTCCCCCGGTGAACGCTCCTCCCCCTTCTGACTTACACCTGGAAATCGAATATCCGCTACTATTACCTCACGAGGTTTCACTTGTCTTTTAGTAAGCTGGTTCAATATTCATTCAACCTATCCTTTACAAATTCGATCTAGGAGATGGCAACCAGCATTAAATGCAGGAGAATTTGACGCTGATTACTAATCTTTGTGAAGGTAATTCACTAGAAACTCGCTATTGAGGAGTCATCGAAGGTAGGCGTCTGGAAAGATTTTATGCTTTGCAGTTGTATACGCTCGCTGTAGTCGATAGGATAGTTTTGTAAATATCTTCATTCGCATTTCGTTCGCTCGATTACATCTAACATCTGGTAAAGGGGACATAACACTGCAGTTAAGATCTAAGGAAAAACATGCAGGAGTACTTCTTGACTTAACAACTTACCGTACTGTTCCGGTCGACGCTGGGCCGTAACTCGTCGCACGTGCCCCTTCGGTGTGGCTTCTCGACTGCTCGGCCTCCGAAGCAGGCTACTGCCGTTTTCATCAAACACTCTCTGACGGCTGCTGTAGTGGTACTTTCTGGTGTCAAATCCAGGTAGAAGGTTTGATCGGCGTGGCCCGCTGGGTTCCCGAAGTCTGTGAACAGTGGTGCATTTAGTAAAGACAGCTTAACCCTAAAAATGCTGCTGTTTTTAAAGAAACTCTTGGTAGGCAAAAGGGGACTGAATTATTTTTGACCAGATTATGGTTTGTAAACAATTTTAAGAGATTTGGGGAGGGGGGCATCAAACCCAAAGCCCGTTCAACAGAACTCAAAAACCATCTCCTGAGTTTTATGATATGTGACCAAGCAAAATATCTCCTTCTTTCCATCAATAAATTTGATAAAGACACGATTTATTGGAGAAAGTATAAGAACTGGACATTCGTAAATAATTTCCGCGAACGATAACAAACTTTATATCAGCGGTTAAAATCCAGGAAATACATCTTATCAACCTGGACGGTCGACCAACTGTTTAAAAGAGTACAAATAGAAAGCTAGTAGTTAAGGCTTCCTAATTTACCCACGATGTTGTTCTTTGCTCGTGCACCTTGTAATGCCATTCCAGTAGCAAGTTGGAGTTCAAAGACCATTTTACTCGTACTCATTCATACTAGGTCTCAAGTCATGTTTGAGAAGATCAGACCAATTACAGTTAAAGAGTGGAGTATTTAGATAACAAGTTTACTTTTACGATCAGACAATCGCCTACAGCACCCCTCCGGCTAAACGTCCCAGGTTCGTTATGTCATATGGCCTTGCAAAGGAGCTCAAGGCATCAAGAACACTATCCCATTTTTAGGAGGTCAAGTTAAGCGAGCAAACGTTTTCGATTAATTCATCATCAGTCAAATAAAATAATATAAGTGAGGGAAGAGCTACCAAAACTTTAAGCAACCAATTAGTAGTAATAAGGAGAAGAGGGAGAAGCTGTGTTAAGCGATCAAAAAGGGTCAGATTCTAGTCATAATTAGGGACCAGAGAGGGGAAAGAGGGATGGGGTCCGATAGCTTTTTCTGTTACTTAAAATTCCAACGAAAAAAAGCAAAAAAATGCCGCACAAAGGAGGAATACAAGCAGTTAACAAGGGAGACCTTAGACGGGTCTCAATTTACTCCGAGAAAATATTGGACTTTCTCTCTATCTCTAGTGAAAACACTTTTGCTTCTGACAAGTAATTTTGGCCCAATGTACATCTAGCCTCTGAAGGAGGATAATATTTAGACGATACAAAAAACTCTATAGCCGCACTCACCGGTAAAAAGCATGATGCTCGATTACTACTTCATAAAGCCGTTTAGCGAGGGCCGGGTGAGCACACTTAAAGGTGAGGACTCTGTCTTTTACATGGCCATGGGGTTTTTTGGATCTGGAACGGCTCCTACTGCCAGTTTTTGAAACCGGAGAAGACGGCTTAGCAGATTTTTGGGTCGCTTCACCCGAAACTGGATCCACGTTGACGGGTTGCGGCGACCGAACTGTTAGGGTAAATTCTTTGCCTTTGTGAGACATTTCAACGATGTAAGGCCAGGAGAAATGCTGCATCCGTAGTCGGCCGCGGTAGACCACAATGCCAGAATGATAGACTCCGAGGGAAAGTTCCTCACCAGACTCATTCTAAAAATGTATAAAAGTAACAAATGTCTTGTTAAAAAGGCAGCAGATTTTCAAGCGCGTATAAAGGAGGCTTTTTCCTCATCAAGCGCAGTATAAACGTCCAGCCAAATACGGAAGACATCTCTCAGCGCTCAAATTGCAGCTATCTTGACCAAAGCAATCCATCTTGACTCACAGGTTTCTATCTTCGCTGGTATCCAAACAAAACAAATCAAAGACTGGTTTTATGAA